CATTAACTGTGGCATCAGGTGACATCTTGATTATTTTTTCCAGTTGAACCTGGATGCCAATGAGAACTCGTTCTCCCTTCTGAACCCAGGCGTGAATGCTCCTATCACACATGGAAAATAGAGAATTGATGTCTAGCCACTTACGCTGTACACATGAAACTAACATAAAATAATATTGAATCTGAAATAACATTGAATAATTGAAAAATTAAATTAAAAAGCCTGAAGATGAAAGAACTCCAGAAAACCTTGAATATATATAAATATATATATAGATAGATAGATAGAGAGAGAGAGAGAGAGAGAAAGAGATTTATTTATATATTTTAGTTTTATTTATTTATTTATAAATAATCCTTGAATATATATATAGATAGATAGATAGATTTATTTATTTATATATTTTAGTTTTATTTATTTACTTATAAATAAACCTTGAGTGTATATATATATATATATATATATATATATATATATATAATGATTGAAGCTTTTATTGTGTCTCAAGGCCATCATTCCAAATATTGGTGGTTATTGTACACTATGTTTAGATAGCATGGCATTTGGCTTAAATAATTGTGTTAGTCTCTTAAATTCAGTTTTGAAATAAACTATTCTTATATCAGTGATTCTTAACCTTTCCAGAGTCATGAACCCTTCTGAGAATGTGATGAAAGTTATGAGTTTTCTCTTGAGAACAATGCCCATGTACAAACACACACACACACACACACACACGCACACACATTTTGCCTACAACTTCAAGACCTTTTTAATTCATCCACGAATCCCAGGAGCTGTCATCAAGTCTTGGTTGAGGATCCCTGCCTTAAGGAGATTGTTTTCATTCTTTGATGCCAGAGGCATGGTATAAATTTCTATTTTAACTAAATGTTCTAATGGACTTGATCCTAGTTGAGTGGATTGACTGTAATACTTTCCCACAGTTTGTACCATGTCTTTTGAGTCTGGATGGGAAACGGTGATGGATCTGCACAGCCATCCCAATTCGCCCTTAACTATCTACAGGATGTTGTGAAGTCAAATAACTAACAAAATGTAGCAGAAATCAACTTAGATTCTCAGCCAGGGGACCTGAGTTCTTGTGTTCATATGCTCTACCAACTTTAACATTTTTTTAGAAACAACAACTCTGCTGTACTAGTAAAATGAGGGACGTCTGCCATAATATTTTGTTGTGTTGGTAGAGTGCCTTCACTTTGGCTATTTCATTTATCCTAACAAAAACTTGGTGAGAAGGTCAATGGGTTATAAGCATTCGCATACACATAAGTAAGAAAAGGAAAATGGTAGTTGGCTTGTTCAAAGGTAGTTACTTCAGGAAAGATGTGAGAGGTCCCATTCTGATTCTAGTCCCCAGATAGACCTGTGCTCCTCAACTTACTTCATGATTTAATTCAAGCTCCGTATGAGCCTAAGGCAGCCAGGCAAAAATGGTTGGATCCATTCATATCAAATGAAGTCTCTATTCCAATCTGACTGTGCTATAAAGTTATTTATAGGCAAGTATAAATGATGACTAGAAATATTTGGTTGACATGGTGGGCTACTGGTACTCTCAGTTATTAATCATTTTATTTCAAATAAGTGGGACCATCATGGCAAAGGTAAATCTGGAGGTATTTTTGTATATAGATTTTTTGTTCTGAACTACCCTTAACGGTGCTAGGAATTAGAAATATGATCTTCGTTAACTTTACCTGAGCCTCCCAGCATATTTTTGTATTCTCCAAAACAACATCCTCTTTCAGATTTGTAGAAGCTTAGAGCTAGAGGAAATTTAGAAATTGCTTAAATAGTCCCTTGTGCAAGAAGGAAACAGAGGCCCAGGATGATGAAGTAACATGCCACAGGACACAAAAGCTAATCAGTGACAAACTCAGGATAAGTTCACAGATCTCCTGACTTATTTTCCTATCTTTTAGGCAGAAAAATTAAAATGTTGACCATCAGAAAATTCAAAATATAAGCAGGAAAAGGCTTATAACAGCTAAAAAATTGTAAGTTTACAATTGCTTTCCAATACTATAATTATATGTATGTTCACCTTTCTTGCCTCCACACTCTCATTAATTGTACCTCACAGAATATGCTTCTCCAACTAAATAATTTCACCTTTGATTTCCTTGGTTGTTTTCTAGGGTCTGTCCAAAATATGGATAAATATCCTTGCAATTTCTCTAGTTTAAAGGCTAAAACTTCGCTACCTAAAACTTTCAATTTCTGTCAAATTGAAAATTGGCACCGAGCTCTCCAAAGGGTATTTTTTTTTTCTTTGTCAATTAGTGCAGCAGAAGCTATTTAAGGAGAGCCAGTGTTGTACTTGGCTCCATGCTAGACCTACTGGAAGAGTCAGGGGGAAAACGCATAATCCTGTCAGAAAGGATCTAAGAGATAGGAAGAGACAAAAAATAAATAGCCCTAGCTGGTTTGGCTCAATGGATAGAGTGTCGGCCTGTGGACTGAAGAGTCCCAGGTTCGATTCCAGTCAAGGGCACATGCCTGGGTTGCGGGCTTATCCCCAATAGGGGGTGTGCAGGAGGCAGCCTATCAATGGTTCTCTTTCTTCATTGATATTTCTATCTCTCTCTTCTCCCGTCCTCTCTGAAATCAATAAAAATATATTTAAAAAAATAAATCCCACAGACAGTGAAGGAGCAGTGATGTCATGTAGACGTGAACAGTGTGGAATAAAAAGAATGATCAATACACCCAAGAATAGTAAATAATGGCTTTGTGGGCAAAGTAGGATCGGAACTTGGCCTTGACCAGTGCATAGATTTGAATAGCAAAGGGGCAGATCAGGGTGTTGAGTGCTGGGGCAATGGCACTGGATTAGGAGCTAACATTGGGGAGGAGATGGGCAGTGGGTGACCAGCCCCACGAAGCCAACTTGAAAGATGCCAGTCATTGGGAAGAAAGTTGAATAGTTAGGTGGGTAGGTAAGTAGGCTGGCCAAGAGCTTGATAGTGAGGGCCAAAGGCATATGACTTGGAATCCCAGCTGTGTAACTTTGGGCAACTCACTTGACTTCTCTGTACCTCCATTCCTTTCAGAAAAAATGGGAATACCAATAATCCCTCTCTCATGTTGTTGTTGGGATGATTTAGATTTACATGTTCTATGCACTAGGGGAGGTTGGAACAGTTCCTTCCAAGTGTTCCGCCCACCTTAGTAAGCATTTTCACACCCTCTGGATCTGGATAGGGAGTTAACGCAAATAGAGTACAACAATATTGACTATTCTATTTAGCATCTAAAGGGTAATATGCTAATTAGACCGGGTCGACCAGACATCTTCTGGTCATCCTGCCTTCCTTCTGGACAAAGCCACGGTGGCAAGGGCTGAGGCAGACATGGTTAGGGGCAATCAGGCCATCGGGGGGTGGGCAGCAGTAAGGGGGGAACAGTAAGGGGCAATCAGGCCAGCGGGGGCGGGGGGGGAACATTTAGGGGTGATCAGGCCAGCAGGGAGGAGCAGTAAGGGGCAATCAAGCTGGCAGGGGAAGGCAGTTAGGGGCGATCAGGCCGGCAGGCAGAGGTGTTGGGGGTGATCAGACCAGCAGGCAGGTGAGCTGTTAGGAGTCAGTGGTCCCAGATTGCAAGAGGGATCCCGTATTGGAGAGGGTGCAGGCCAGGCTGAGGGGACACGTCCCTCTTCCCCCCATGGATGCATTTTGTGTACTGGGCCTCTAGTGAAGCCAGAAAATAAAGACTTGAAAGTAGTCTGAGGAGTCTGGACTGAATGAACACAGAGCTGTTCTTAGGCCAAATTGGATTGAGAGAATCTGGGCTTAGAAGGATCTCTCCAAACCCTGGGGTACTGGGGTACTCAGCCTTTCCCTTGCTGGCGACTCAAACCTCTCTGCCCGGGGAAGGGGACCACAGGCAGGTGGCCAGATGACAAACAGGATGGAAGGCATTTGGTGAAAAAAAAAAAAGGCTTTTAAGGTATTAAAGTGAGTCCAATTTTTATGGTTCTCCCTCCTGGCAGTGGGCCTTTAAGGGTCCAGTTCTGAGGTTAATAAGTAAAAAAACTGGAGAACCAGTTTTGGTAGATTGAATATTAACAAGCCCCTCTTGGGTAGTTACTGAGACGTTGTCAGTAAGATGGAGAGATGATGCCCGCTCTAGTTCCGAAAAGGCCCTTGCCTGGTCTGGGATATCCTTGACACTGATAACCTTCAAGCACCGGCCAGACTGCACCATTTCTCCCTCTTGCCTGTCTTTTTTCTTAATGACAACTTGGCATTCCAGGGTGACAGATAAGCAGGGGCCCACGAATTATGTCTGACTGGTAAGGGTGGCGAGGCACCTTTCAGTTTTGGAATCTGTCTACTAGTCTATAGTTCTGAGACCCTCTGAGGTTTAAATGAGAGAGGCTCTTCCCCAGTTCTTATCTCTTGACCTTGCATGATTACAATGTCTTCCCTATGGAATTTGCTAGGTATTCTTCGTCTGTGACTCCAAAGGGAAGAGATCTAACAAGCTCCTTTCATTAAACTTAGCCAACCTCTGAAATAGGTAAACTATTTTTAAACCGCTGGCAGTTGTAGTTGATCTTGGATGAGTTTGAAAATCTTTGCTTTTCAGATCTGACACTCTCCCCATGATTTGCTATTTATTATTATTATTATTATTATTATTATTTTGCAACCTTGGCTTTTGCTGTCATCTTTCAGGAACTTGGAGTCCGTAGCACAGTGACTTTACCAATGCATGATGATGACCAAGGTCAACGAGAGACTTGGAGGGGCCTGGGGTGGGGGTGGGGGAATTCCAGAACCCCTTCTACTGCTCCAGATGAGGGATTAGTAATAAAGCAGGGAGAAATATTTGCCAAAGCCGACACTAGATATTTATTTTTCTATACTGTCCACCTGGTGATTCATATACACAATATTATGAGGAATAGAAGCTACAGAAAAATGCCACACAATGTACAAACAGCACAAACTCGATATTAAGAAGAAGACGTCATCACACCGCCTCGGATACATTTTCACATTTGCAGAAGTAAATATTAAGGGTTGTACTTGAGACCTTTCCTCCTGATTCTAGGGAACAGTATTACAAAAATGACAAATCCACTGATTAGCCGGCAATCATATTGTTGTATTAAAAAAAACCACAACTTTCCTGGCTGGTGTCGAAGAATTCAATTAAAATCTTATTATCCTTTCTGTCCTTTCCGACTGCCCCGGGTAGGTCAGGTGCCAGGAGTCCCCCAATTTCTCAGTGCCTCTGTGCAGTCCCTCATCTAGGGGCTGGGGCTTGGCTCTCTCCCTCCCACTCTCTCTTTCTCTCTCTCTCTCTCTTTCTCCCCTGCCCCCTCCCCATTTTTAAAAGGCTTTAAAGAACATCTCAGGGAGACAAAAATAGCTCCAGTTGTGAGAGGCCTACACCGTGGGAAGGCAACTGAGATGCAAGTCAGCAAGTGGCAGCCGCGAACATGAGGGTCTGGCCCCCTGTGGATGTGCCTGGCAGTCCTTGTGCTGATGCTGTGCCTGGGCCCGGTGGGTAGGAGGGCAGCTGGGTTCTCTGCGGGAGGGAGGTGGGCCGGGCAGCTCTGGGGTCCTGGAGTCCATCAGATCCGATGGAAGGATGGGAACCCCAGCATTGGGGGCTGCAGGGCTGGCTCCGGCTTCCCCTCCCCCCAGGTTTTTAAGTGTTATTTTGCCCAGGCGGGGACTGGCGCCGGTCAAAAGGAGCAGTTGGCACTGAATGTCACCCTGAAGGTAAAGTGAAAGACAAAAGATGAACGCATGCTTGCTTTCCCTTTGCAGCGGCTGCGGCAGCGGCAGTGGCGGCTGGAGCAGCAGGATTTAAAGGGGCAAAAAACCCTCCCGCCCGGACACACACCCAGAGGTGCCCTTTCTGCAAACGCAATAATGCCATGGAGTCATAACCGTGCTGGGAATCTGGGGGGCTCCTAAAAGATATCGATTTTTTTTTTAAAGAAAGAGAGAGGGAGGGAGGGAGAGAGCGAGAGAAACGCATGCAAACAGAAACGTGCACATACCACGTACCCACCCGAGGAGACCCCGGCAGCCTGGCTCTTCTCTGGCCAAGTTATCATTGAGAAAACAGACAGGCATCATGACGTCCCGGGTCACAGGGAGTGCGGACCGACGCTACCAAGAGCGGAGGGAGGCGCCCGGGCGCTCCGGCTAGCGGTGGGCGCCCCTCGGCCCCTGCAGCCCAGCTCGGTGAGTGACAGCCGCTCGGGACTCAGACCCGTGGCCAGGCCTGCGCCTCCCGCGCGCAGGGGGTCCGGTGGGGGGCCGTGCCCTTGCCCGCAGCGGGCCAGCCCGCACCCCCTCGCCGCCCGTGGAGGTCGCGGGAGCCCGGCGAGGAGGAGGCGTGTGTAGGACGCGCAGTGTCCCTGCATGGGGGTTCGTAGACTTTCCCAGCCAAAGGTACCGCGGGGCTGGCTCCTTTAAAACCCCCGACGTCTCACCTGGTCCCCCGCCGCAGTTGTGACCCTGCCAAGGTAACTGGTCCCAATCCTTAGCAGCAACATCTGCAGGCTGACATCCCCGCGGGGGGCATTCTGGATTTGCAGTCCTGGTGGAAAGCTCTATGCCACCTCCCTCCCCCCTTCACTTGTTTAGAGTGTTTTGGAAAAGAAAAAAAGCACAGCAGCAACCCCCTCCCCCAATAACATGGCCCTAAGTACTGTCCGCCTGTGTAGACGCGCCTCACCAAGACTGCAAACCTGCCAGACTGTGTGCTCCAGACACACAAATCCTAAAAGCAAGGATTTGTTCCTTCAACACCTCTCCCATCCCCCTCCTGGATAGAGACTTCGGTGCTGGGTGAAGTGGCCCAGAGTGAGGGCAGAGTTAGGGCAGCAGGACAGGAAGGGGTGGAGGGAGTCCTCTGGTCTTCCTCAGCCAAGGAGGGGCACTGGGGAGAGGGGGGCTGCAGGAGTTGAGGGCTGGGAAGTTCTGTGATTGCTGCTGCTGCTGCGTCCTAGGTGTCTCCCTCCTGTCCTCTGCGCCTCCCTCCCTCCCTTTCCCTCCCCCCTCCCCCTCCCCTTTCCCTTTCCACTGGGGGGCTCGGAAGTTGCAGGGAGGTCAGCAACCACCATTTGAAGTATTTCAAACCACCTCCCCACAGCTACCCCTCAAGTCCCTGAGAAGCATTTGCAGGATAGAACCCGCCCCCTCCCATCGCCCCCTGTTTGGTGATGGAAGATTCTTAGAAAAAGACACAGAGGGCAAAGCTTCCCTCCTCTTCTCTCTCTTTTCTCCCTTCTGCACGCCTGCCCTCCCCTTTTCCCAATCGGAATGAGCAATTCTGGAAGCGTCCGGAAGGGCCTGGAGAAAGCCCCACTGGTGCCTGGGTGCTGGGGAATGGTTGTGTGTGTTTGTTTATTGTGCTGGCATCGGTCTTGTTGTGGATGGCCACATGGGTCTGCTTAAGCAGGGAAGCACATTTGCTGTGTTTGTGTTGTACTACCAGAACCAGTGGCCGTACAACCCGACACAGACACACGCAGAAAGCAAATGACTCCGCTAACACAGACCAGAGGGCAATGCTGAAAATAGCACCTTCTCTCTCTATCTCATAAGAGAGAGAAAGAGAGAGAGAGAGAGAAATTCTCAGCGTCTGAGTTCAGAGAAGTTGCTGTTAGGTCCACATATGACCTCCCACTACTTTCCTAACACTCCTGCTTAATACTTTAAGTCAAGATCAAGAGACCTGTGGGGGTTTGGAAGTGCTGGGAGCAGCTGAAGACTTGGGCTGGTTGTGAAGAGAAACTCTCCTTTGTTTCTCCTGCTGACCAGAGACCAAATGGGGGCGTGTGTTTGGAAGATGCCCAAGTTCAGAAGCAGCAGGCAGGAGGGGAGGCAGGGGCTGGGGCTGGACTTGGTGTCAGGATTCTTTTTTTTTTTTTCTGTCCAGTAGATTGGAAGTTGTCAGCATGAGTTCGCCAGCCGGTGTCATTGTGGGAAAAGGAGGGAAATTCGAATAGTTCTTGAGTTCTCAAATCTGAGCTGAGGAGTAGCCCATAGAAAGAAAGGACAGACACCCTAATGGAGGCCAATGCCTTTGATAGGGCCTCTTCCTTCAACCGGGAAAGATCACGCATTTATGGAGCTGGCCTAGATGACTTACCAACATGCTTGTCTGGTGCACATGACTTTGCTGTTTTTACATATCTCATCACTCTTTAAACTCCTGTTACGTGGAAGTAGAAGTGTGTGTATTGAGCGCGGCATCATAGAGTTAACGTGGTCCGTGGACTGGGGGGTTGAACATCGATAGAAAGATCATTATGTTCTTTAATAAATCCAGATAGCACTGAAACCTTCATGCATAGTATATACCGAAACCTGCTAGTCTTCTTTTAGGGGAGCAAAGGGACTTTCTGATGGGTGGGGTTGTGCTTTTATGAAATAGAGCCCATCCATCGATTAGATCCCCAGGTGTGTGCCCCTCAATTTATTCTGTACAGTGTTTTCAAGAAATTAAAAGGTTAGCACGAGAGGGCTCTGTTCTCGTTTTCCAACCCAGCACCACTTATTACTTACTGCACCAGGATTTCGATAGGAAGTGATCCTCAAGATAGTTTTTCACTTTGAGTTCTGAACTTAAATCAGCATGAGAATGGTAATGGCGGGGGCAGCAGCCATGCAGAGAGCAGAAGGGCTGTGAGGGACAATGCTGCTGAAAACATTTCGGGCTGTTCTCAGTTGCCTTGTTTATGGGGACATTTCAGTTGCAGCTAGCATTTTAGCAAGAGCCTGTCACAGGTAATGGGCTTATGTTGGAAAAAGATCCTTAGGTGTCTCTTGTTTCTCCTTCACAGACATTCCGTGCACCTTAGCTAAACACTCAGGGCAGAACTTTCGTGATGCCTCACGACATTTCACATCTAGACAAATCCCCAGATCAGTGTGTCACAGGAAAGGGAGTTAATTTATGAGCTTCTCCTTTTGTTTACAAATGTATCGATACAAGTAGATTAGTCTTGTTTTATTATTATTATTCTTTTAATACGCTTTTTAAAATTGATTTCAGAGAGGAAGAGGGAGAGAGATAGAAACATCAGTGATGAGAGAGAATCATTGATCGACTGTCCCTACTGGGGATCGAACCTGCTACCCAGGCATGTGCCCTGACCAGGAATTGAATCGTGACCTCTTGGTTCACAGGTCAATGCTCAACCACTGAGCCACGCCAACCGGGCTTGTTTTATTATTTTTTAATGTCTTGTGTGTTTGGCTGTGTTAAATGCAAACAAGTTATATTTAAGGAAGTTCAAGTTTGCCTTCCTGATTGACCTATGAAATTGGTTTCAATTTGACATGGGAAATCTCGTTATCCTGGCAGAGGGATTTATGATAGAACAGAGGAATTCTGTCTTATCTCAACATGGTTGGGAAACTGTGGAAGGAGAAAGAGTTAGAGGGAAAATGCCAAGAGCCAGGTTAATGAAGAAAAACACTGGTGAGATACTTTTGAATAATACATAGGCAATGTGATGGTCAACCACAAGATACAATTTTTATACAGGACTTTTATGGCTTTAAACAGGCTGCATTGTAAACTAAGCTGACTACTCTATTAAGTCATTTATAGTTTTCAATTATTTAACATTTCTGGCTAACTTATCTTCCGTGGTCATCTTCTGTACCCATCAGAAATACAGATGGTAGTCATTGCTTGTTGTTAGTGTAGGGACTTGGCAATGGAGCTGGGTTGAGTTCTGACTTCTCACAACAACAGTTACCAAGAAGGCACAAAGGGGAACGAATGTTATGGAAACAGATGGAACCCTGTAAAGTGGAGATCCCTCCCGCATCCACAGTGCCTAACACAGTCTTAGTTACGCTCGCTAAGAAACCCTGGCAGTACCTGCCTTCTAGGAACTGTGCATCTGGAAATTCTCTCTCCATTTCAGTGAAGGTCTTTGTTTTCTCCAGGGAGTAGTTGGTGATGCTTTCCATGGAATCACTGCTATGAGAAAACCAACTGAAAACTTCTGTAGGAACATTAGAATCTGTCATTTGGAAGTAATGATGGACCTCGTTTTGCAATACTGTGATCTTTGTTTTATTCACTTAAAATTTCTGTATAAAGTCAAAATAATGTCCGGGGGCCTCTGGGGCAAACAAAGACATTTTCTCTTGTCACTTTGCTATTTTTTTAAAGCTGTGGGCTAATTCGGCTTTGTGTCTTTTTAAATTTATTTTTTATTGATCTCAGAGAGAGGAAAGAAGAGGGAGAGAGAGAGATAGAAACATCAATGATGAGAGAGGATCATTGACTGGCTGCCTCCTGCACGCTCCCTACTGGGGATTGAGCCCACAACCCAGGCATATGCCCTTACCGGAATCGAACTGTCCTTCTGGTTATAGGTCCACGCTCAACTACTGAGCCATGCAGGCCGGACTGTGCATCTATTTGTAGGTTAGCATCGCCAGACCAATAGGGCCCTAGGACTAAGAGCAGGAAACTATGAAGAAGATCTAAATGCCCCTCACCCTCTCATGCTAGCGGGTGGGGGTGGGGCACTGTAGGAAAGTTGAAGGATCTTTCTCTGGAATCATCTTCTTTTGATGATTTGGAACCTAATTTATGCACTTTGTTTTGTAATCAATGGTGGTGGTGGCCAAAAGGGAGAGCCAGAAGCTGTGGGGCTTTCTTTTTCGTGGAAATTAAATACCATGAATTTACTCAACAATGATGATTTCCAATGGGAAAGGTTACTACCCCCATAGCTCCATTGCCTTGGGTGTAAATCCCACCTCCCATCCCCAGGAATGTCTACCATGCATAGATAGCTAATAGTGTATTTATGCCATTGTGATCAATAACTCCCGCAGAAGAATCAGCGGTAGTTTTAAATCAGGCCTCTGTTTATATTTCTATTATGAAGGCTATTTTGTTCATTTAAACAAGGGGATGGCCATAGTTACCACAAAAGAGGGTTGGATGCATGTGGAATCCCTGTGATAAAATGTAAGATACTGGAGATTCAAAGATACTTTATTCACTTATGAACACTTACGGCTGTTTCAGATGGTGCAGCTGCTAAAATAAACTACCTGGTAGAACTCAATACAGGATGCTGATGAATAAATGTGCTTATTTTACTTCCCTTCTACAAAAGAATTTTTTTAAGTTAGCAAATATGTGTATCTGACACGGTAATTTTTCACTGTTTTGAAGATTCAATTTCTGGAGGCTAACTTGACATGAAGCATGGCAAAACTTTTGTATTCCTACATTGAAAGTTACTTATGTGGTAGGATAAACAGTGTTCACAGATATCTGTGTTACCAGGGTGGCCCATTTAAATTTGATCTCACTCAAAGATATATTAGATTAATAAGGCTGATTTTATGAACAATATAATTTATATTCACGAATACCTATTTTTATTAGCACAAGTAGAGATTGTGAAGCAAATTTCCATATATGTTAAATACTAAGAGCAAGAATAACTAACATTCGTATAGTGTGTTACACTTTATAAGCATACATTACCCATAAACTGTTCTTTAGAAGAATATTTATTGCAGTTTCTTACTCAAGAAGGCACTCTGTTTTTACACTATAAACATCTTATGAAAATAGATTCTTTTATTAGTTTCCTTCCTCTCTTCCTTTCTCTCTCCTTCTCTCCCTTCCTTCCTTTCTTCTTTTTTCCTCTCTTAATGGGAAAACAGCCAGTGATATGTGTGTGTGTGTGTGTGTGTGTGTGTGTGTGTGTGTGTGTGTAACATGTGTAATTGCCTATCACACATTTCTATTAGAAAAGGAGCTGTAACAAGCAATCCAGCATGATTTTGGGGATATATATCCTGCCTACCAGTGCTCTTGAGGAAAATGTAAGGTTGCAGAAATCATTTCATGCCCTGTATGTTTCCAAACATAAATCAGGAAAATTGTTAGCAAGTTATAGCTCTTCTTAGAGACGGTGACTATAGTGCTATAGTAAACACAGGCTATATATTTTTCCAAGTTATTATGTGTGGAAAGAAATCCAAAGTTGGCTCTTTAGAGGAACCGTTTAATTCAGTTATCAGAAATTCATTTTCTATTTAGTATGAACATTTATTTCCAAGGGTTGCAGAAATGGGACATAATAGCTGATGATCCTTTAGATCCATCACCTTCAGAGTTAGAAACTTGCTCGTTTTAGCTAATGTGTGAACTACTGAACATCCGTCTTCAGTTAAGAACAAGTCAGAACGGTCCGAGGTAGAGTTGATAGTCTGATCTTTTACCCTCTTCAGCACAGAGCAGCGAAGCTTTGCCTCTGTCTCTTCATTTCTAAAAGGGAGGAGTTTGAGTTGGTGGTCTCCAACGCACTTCGCCCTTGAATTAAAGAATTGATTAATAATGAATGAACCAGTGAATTACATTCCTGTTTATTTCTATTCTGTAAACAGATTGCTGACTAAAGTATGACCTTATGCCATGGCCCGAAATACTAGTGTGTGGAGTAGTAATTGAGCTCAGGTTTAGTGCCTTGAAACAAAAGTTTTATGAAACTTCGACACTCAAATTTCATTAAAATATTTCATTTGCAGGTCACTGATTAGATATTCAAAAAACACTTTTTCTATAGAAGATAATCTTAAAATGCTGATTACTAGGTTAGGCCATAAAAATCTATGTTACTTTTGTTAGAGTGAAATACTATATATCAGTGATGAAAAAATGTGAAAAGCAGTTCTGCTATGATACAAGCGATAAACATAACAAAAAGGGAATAGAATTGAATGTCAGTTTATCACTTATCTAGAAACCAGAGGGTTGAGGTTTAAGAGAACACGCATATAACTGCAAGTTAAAAAGATGGATTACAACCATTGCAGAGTCTCTGAGGGGGATTTTAAGAAACTTTTGGAATTTTTAGCAGTTGGTTACAAAATTGTTGGCTTCCTCTCCCCCCCTCCCCTCCCCCCTGGAATAGTGTAACATTAGCACTCTTTCTAAGATTGTTACCTGTGATGATATTTGTTTTTTGACACCCAAATGCCTTGAAGAGCAGGAGAGCGGGGAGAATGGAGAGGAAAATTATTCTCTGAAGTTATTGTCTAAGATGTGAGAGAAGAAAAGGTAGAAGGTGGTTGAAGGTAGAGGACAGAGGCATATCTCTGTGTGTGTGTAAGATAGTCTGGTCTGCGTTTAACTGATCTGTGGGAGGAGAAACCATAAGGAAAAGAGAGCAGTGAATGGCTGCACATTCCACGTGTATTAGCGATGTGGAAAAGCTTTGGGGATTGGAGTTAGAGCATCCATTTTGAAATTTGTGCTGGGCCACTTATTGCCTGTGTGATCTTGTAAAGTTATTAAATTCTCTGAATTGGTCTTATCGGTAAAAAGTTGAATAATAAAAGCATCTGCTTCCAAGATGGTTGTGGGAGTGGAGTGAGATCTATAGGTATAAAAGTGCGTGGAAACTATTTTTATAGGGGTGGGCAAAGGTAGGTTTACAGTTGTTCATATGGAAAAAAATACAATAATTAATAAATAGTAATTCAAAAATAAACTCTATTTCACAACTGTAAACCTACTTGTAGTTGAAGGTGGTAAGGAAAAGTCATTGGGTCAACCAGTTCTCCATGCTGACCAAGTCTTAGGCCATTTGTTTTCACTCCAGAGTGGTCTTTGATAGGCCTGTTTCTTGTGCACTGTGGGCCAAGAACTGTGCTAGATACTTTACATATTACTTTATTTAGGGAGGAAGCAGGAAATAGTATGCAGCTGGCCACTTAAATGCAGCAAGCCTGATAATTCTACCCTAAGTGATGCCAACATGTGAGGAGCATGTTCAGTTTCCTTTACAGATGGCCACAGCTTGTCTAAATAAACGTGTGAATGACTGAAAACAAAAACAATATATTGAATAATTGTTTTCTTTGTCTCAAACATGACCTGTCCCTTGCACTTCTGCATTGGCGTTGATATTCATCTAAATTTCCTGGATTTTTGTTAAGGCTGAAGGAATCATTATTTGGCAGTAAATCCTCATATTTAATAATATAAATTCCATTTAAACAAAGATTTCCAGGATATATCAGCACTAATTAATGTAATACATGAGCTGAACTCCAAGTTCTAGATTCTAGAGTGATATCTTTCTAGAATATTTTCTTGTTTTTAATGTCTGATTCACTGATAAATATCTAGCCAATTCTTCCATTGGAAATGGATTACATTTCAAAGCATAAAATGAAGCAGTAGGACAACAATTATTCAAGACATTTGGGCTGTGTGTACAGACAGTATATCTTCAAAAGGCAAATCCAAAAATCTGCTTAGATCCTCCCTCAGAGTGCCTTGTGTTAAGTATTTGAATGGGATGAGACAAGGCAATTGAAAGCATTTAGTGCTTCATGAAAGAGACTACACAAGTTCCGGGAGGCAAGGAGGAATGACTTCACATGTGGCCACGCGCTTGAGAGGAGTGGCCATGTCTCACATGACTTTGTGCTCCCTCCCCTGTGTCTGGCACTGTGCCTGATTTCTAGAGGAGGCTCAGTAATGTTTTTTAAATGCATGGGTGCCAGGCACTGTGGCCAGCCCCTGACCTATGTGAGTATGTGATTCCTTAAATCTTCACAGCAATCTTGTATGGTAGCTGCAATGACACCATCTCATAGATGAGGAAACAGAAGTTTGGAGCTCCCAACCTCACGCAGGTAGAAAGTAGTGGGGCCAGGATAGGAAGCTAAACCCATTTGGCACCAGAGCCCAGTCTTCTCATCACGTTCTGTGAGCTCTTGGATGTCAGGGGTTATGGTTACTTCTGAACAATAGGCCCCAAGGTGAGCCAAGGCCTTCCTGGGATAATTCCCCAGCTGCGCAGGCAGCTCCTGGCCTGGCGTTCAGAGAAGTGGAAGCACACGGCCCTGTGCTGCCTGCTACGTTGAACGTGGCCTTTTGTTAAACTGTCAGTTCTGATTTCTGCCCTTTGAGGTGAAACGCACCATCGTGAGAAAATACCACATAATAGACTATCACCTAGACTTGTCGTTGGGATGGAAGGAAGAGGAAGGGCAGGGAGGAACACGGAGAATAAAGTGACTGTGCCAACCAATCGCCCCCGCCCCCTCTGTATCTTACGGTCTCTTTCCCTTTTAGAATTGGCAAGGTCTAGAATTTTCCTTCTCCCCCATATTAAGGGTGGTAAAGAGGGTGATTCCACTACTGAACATCCTATACCATGTCCTGTATTGTATGGCTGCTCCTGGTATCGCCATAGTCTTGGGATCCTAGTAGGTTCTACTAGTGAGGTTCATAAAGAATAATAAGAAAATGGCCCCCAACCAACCAAACAGTCACGTTCAAAGTCCAGCCTCTAAATTTGGAAGCAGCATACAGGTACCACCCAACTGGTGTGACTTTGTGGTTAAGCGCTGACCTATGAACCAGGAAGTCACGGTCTATTTGCTCTCAGGGCACATGCCTGGGTTGGGGGCTGGATCCCCAGTGTGGGGCATGCAGGAAGCAGCTGATCAATGATTCTCCCTCATCATTGATGTTTCTCTCTCTTTCTCTCTCCCTCTCCCTTCCTCAATAAAAATATTTTAAAAACAAAAGAACTAGGTACCACGTTACCCATCCTAAATTATTTTTTCCTCGATGTATTTGTGAGGAATGTCAGGGGAGTCATAAATACTCAACACAGGATTAGTAACATGTGGATTTGAGGGTTTATAGATGAAAGAGAGAGAAATATGTTTTAGAAATGGGGACTCAGTTCTCAAACCCCGTGAAGATAGAGCCCGTGGGAGGTCAGGACAGCAGAGGTCAGGGCTGCATGTGAGAGAAGTCCAGGGAATAAGCACAGCATCATCAGAGGTCTGTGGGTGGGTAGCTGTGTTTGGTTTCCCAGGGAGCGTGCTGGAGGTGAGACCTGGTGGGGACACATCCCCCCTCCCCCCGCCCGGTGGTGGAGGCTGCCCGGGTGAATTGTGTGAAGTTGTCAAAGGTTGCTCTGCTCTCCAGCACTTGGCACTGGCCCCGCTGAAATGTGATGCCATTGGTTTTCAGTAAAGGTTCCTTTCTGCAGGGCTGCAAACACGGATCAGCTGCTCCCGTGTACACACAACCCGGGAGCAGACCAACCGGCACATTCCCAGCAGCCTCCTGCACCCCGAGACTGTCCAAGACCTCCTCTGCACGCAGGAACTTTCCTTCTCGGTTGTCAGATGTAGCACCATGCTCCTGTCATCAGATCCCAGCTAGGCTCCTGGCTGCACGGGAGAGAGGCTTCCTTAAGACATTTGTCCTTGAAACTGCACCAAACTCTTGGAAGAACCCAGAACGTGTGAGTATGTGCGATTTAGGCAATAGTGCAGGGCTGAGCTGCAATCAACCCTTATACAATATCCGATTAGCAGAGCAGGAGGGCTTTCTCCGACGTTACGTTACATTCATTTTCAAGTCGTTCTGAGGAAACAAATCAATTGTAGCTTCTGATACAGTGACTTTGCAGTAGACGGGGTTGTAGTGTGTTAGCTTTAACTATTTGCTGTTCTTACTTGGCATTGCAATGTGACTTGGGGGACGATTACTGTGGGGGCAGTAAACTATACAACTTCTCCATGTTTACTAGGGGTGATAAGTGTCAGTCATGTCCATCTCCAGAAACAAGTTTGCTTTGGGGGAATGTTTGTAAAGAATTAACCACAGAAATTCACGGGCAATTGAAGGAATTTGTACTGCCCTTGCTCTGAATAAAACATATTAGATTGCAGTTTTAATTTACTCAGAAAGAGTACATTAAATTCCACTGAGATTTTTGTTTTAATTGATCCCTACCCAGAGCTGTCTGTCTGGTGTTTGGTTGTCTTGCATGCCTCTGTGTGAGTTCCTTGCTGGGATTGCAGTCTGGTTAAACCTGTATGTAGGTGCTCTCTCGGTCCTCAGAACACTCAGGTGTGATAAATGCTCACAAAATGTGGGTGGGTGTGTTTTAAAGGGTGGTCTTCATACCCTTGAAGGCTTTTTAGATGCACCATGTGAACGGCTGTCAGATGTTGACCACAGACTGACTATTCCGAGACTCTCAGTCCAGTCTCAGCTTGTCCACTTTGGGAACTCCAACCCAGAAAAGCACATGCCCCCTTTCTATCAATTTTTCATATGCGTCAATACCTACGTCCAGAAGATTAATTTCTCTCAGATTAGCCTGATTGATAGCTGGGCTGTGGTTTTCTAAGAGCTTGCTCCCTGTAACCCGGAGCAGAGCTGCATTCCATTTACCTAGTGAGTGTGAACACGGGTAACCATGGATCCAGCCACCACTAACCGCCCATGCAGCGACTCGTTGTAAACAATACAAATGAGCCCAGAGAGCAGAGGCAACCAGACATGAAATGATTTTAATAGAAATTACGGTAAAAGGTCATGTGATGTGGTAGCAGCTTCTGTTCAGTTTTAAAGGGAAAGTCTTGCTTTTCTATGTGCCCCCCCCCCACTCCCACCCAACACATACCCATCTGCCACCAAACCAAGTCGCTAGATCTGCAAAGTTGGCTGTTCCCACTCTCTGCTCCCATGGAGAAGGGTGGGCAACGGGAGATTCTGGGCAAAGTGTGGGGACTTGTGGATTTTCACAGTAAGTGCCTTTATTTTAGAAACAGAAAGGGAATCCGGGGACGCCAGGGCTTCCTTCCTGGAAGGTTCTGCTGACTGTGGGCTAGTGGTCCTCTTGCTTTGAAGGAAGAGGAATAGGTAATTTCGCCCCTTAGTTTTTATGTATTTAACTGTCTTTTCTCACCCTTTTGAAATCTCTGAGGACTTGAATCTCAGTCTTTCTGAAAACTGTTATTCGCTTTCCAAGCAACTTCTGCAATATGGTAATGCAGTATGGTAATGAGCACCCAACCCTACCGTTTTCATCCATGCAGACCTTGGCTGACTTCTGCACGGACCAGGCCTTCCGACACCATGCGCCTTTCCCTGGGAGAGATGGTGTCTGTCTGCATGTGGATATGACTGTGCTCTTAAATGTGCCTTCAGCTGAGACACTTGAACAATTTGTGTTAAGTGCTCACCTTGTGGTTTGCTGGGTAGTGACACCAGTTTTGTTTAGTGAAGGAAATGAGGGAAGAAACTCCAGCCATCAAACTGAGGAGGCAGGGGACCTAAAAAGCCGGCTTTGGAGGGTGGGCCTGATTGGTACTCAGCGTGCAGGAGCGAAGGGCTCGGAGTCACGGTCTCCAGTCTCCGACAGCCACAGGCCCTGGGAGCAGAGGTCTGGCTGACGGTGTTGTGTCTCAAGGTGAAAAAGACCTGAACGGCTCTCCTGAGCCGTACCTCCTCCTGCACAGCACGTGATGCCAATGAGCGTGTCAGCGTGGAGCAAAAGGGAATGACGTGTTCATATTTACCTCCTGTCAAACGTTCAGATATTTCTCAAAAGATGCATAATTATACATGTATAGATAACATACTGAAGAATCGGATCTCAGGTATTTATTTTTCTATCAATACTGCCACTACGATAAATTCAATCAGCACATGAAAAAAGCATGAGGGTTATAGTTGAGAAGCTCAGTAGGTGTAAGAGTATCTCCCTACCCCCTTTCCCATATACACTTAGGGCGTGTTTCTAGCAAATTCTGTTGGATTTTTTGTTTGTTTTAAATATATTTTTATTGATTTCAGAGACGAAGGGGGAGTGAGTGAGAGGTATAAACATCAATGATGAGAGAGAATCATTGATCAGCTACGTTTACACTGGGGATAGAGCCTGCAACTTGGGCATGTGCCCTGACTGGGAATTGAACTGTGACCTCCTGGTTCTTAGGTTGATGCTCAACCACTGATCCACACTGGCCAGGCTCTAGCAAACTCTTTGTTTAGACCTGTAAGTCTTAACATAGTACTTATGGTAAAACCTTTTTTTTTTTTTTTAATTAAGCTTTTTTAGATGTTGGCATGTCTGACTCCATACTTAGACTGAAGAATGCTTCACAATGTCATGGTTAGCTAGGGCCTCCTGGCTTGTTTTCTGTTTAGAGAATATCTTGACTCATCAAAAAGAAACAGAAAAAGAAGCTCCAATAATTCATGTTGGGGCGGGTGGGGGGAGAAGTACTTTGAAGGCAATGTGGGAATACAAAGTTTAAGTGAGGATTTGGGTAAATGATAATAAAACTTATTGATTTTAACTTCCCTGGCTTTGCTTCTCCAAGGTGAAGAACAGGAATGGTGTCAGCCTCAGGATGGTTAGGAGCGCATTCTTTGGAGTCAGACATGGGTTGGAGTCTTTGCTCTGGACCTCATTGTGTGTGGGATTGTGAGCAAAGTGACTTCACCTCTCTGAGCTTCCAGACCCTCATCTGCAGATTGAGGAGGCAGGGCACCCCAGTGGGCAGGTGAAAGGGTTAAATGAGATAATGTCTGGCATTTCATAAGTACTTAATAAACTGTTGCTACTTTCACTGTTAGTTTTAACTGAGGAAACAGGTAGTTAAGTAGAGTCCTGCCCTAAGTATTGGGTTATAGCATGGTCCTGTTCTAGGGACAACTGTGCAGTGTTTTATCACATTTACTAAAAGCCAGATTAGTATTTTATGACAGTGTATTGTTTATTTTTATGTAAATTTATTTTTTTTATAAAACAAAAATATTTAGGAAAATTACTTTTTTTTTGTATTTAAGATTTGTCCTACGCAGGGGTGGGGAATGTCTGGCCTGCTTGCCTTCTAAGGCTTGTGAAATAATTTGGTCTGGCCCTGCCAAGGCATTAAGGGTGAGTTCATTAAATGTTTGACCAAACAGAGCAGGCTGATTTTTAAGCTGATCATTTTGTATGGCCCGAGAATGATGTTATAAATATCCAAATGGCCCTTGGCAGAAAAAAGGTTCCCCATTCCTGTCGAGGGTGTTGAAGCAACATGCACAGTTTATCCTATTGCCTGAGTGGGCAGCAGGAGGACATTTAAAGGCATAAGAAATTCATAATTACATGTATCCTAAAAGCCTAAAAAACAGTGGTTACCAGTTGTTCTCAAAGATAATGGTATATACTAAAGAGCAGTACCAATTAACAGGCAAGTAACATGGAGGTTGTATGCTACCAAGGAGACAGGTCTAGACAGGATTGTGTACACACACACACACACACACACACACACACACACACACACGTGCTGTGACCTTTGACCTCTGATTCTCTTTCCTTCTTTCTCCTCTTACTTCCCTTCTTCCTTCCTCCCCTCCCTGTCTTTCCTCCTCCCTTTTCTTTCTTCTTTTGGTCCTTCTGCCTCTTATACATTCTCTCAGCCGCATAGCATTTCCTTTATCCTTTGTGAATCTAAAAAGTTCAGAGAAGAGAGAAAGCGGGACCTGAGACCCACGGTCTTTTTATGTTGCTCCGGTTTTATAAAAGGCAACTTTAAGAGGAGTCAGAAAACTCTGTTTTTCTTTCTGCTGCTATTGAACTGGAGAGGCACCTCTGAAGAGACCCACACACCCCAGGGAAGCCCTGCTCACTAACTATTTGTTGATTCATTGATTAACCCGCAGGAAGGGAAGGGGCCTTGCCCATGGAGACTCCCTTAGTAGTGAGAGCTTTGAAACCCCAGCTACGCTGAGCAGTACGGATGGCTTCTCGGTGACCTCCCAACAACTAATCTCCTTTAAGAACTGAATCAAAGCAGTGAAGGGGTTTTGTCAGATGGATTTTTGCCTACAGTTGGGTTTTTGGCAGTTGTGTGTGGAAGGCAACACATTCTTCACAAGGGTAGGAATCTTTTTTCCAGAAAGGAATGAAGACGAGATGCCAGCAGTTATCTCTGGAGAGGGACCCTTGTTTATCCCTGGGACCATTCAGGCGGGGACAGCTGCTAGGTGGATGACTTTCTCACACTTCCCAGCCAATCTGCCTAACCACCCTTGTCTGGTGGTCCGGCCAGTAAGCACACACATGCGGTGGGCTCTTCCTTACAGTCTTCTCTCCCAAGGGCAGAGAAAAAGTCTGTGATTAGAATTGATACCATGTGAATGACAATGGTATCTGTGATTCTTTTTAATTAGTTTTTTTTCCCCATCCTTCTACTCCCTTCCCCTTTAGCAGCCATCAGCTAAACCGCCTCTATATCTATGGGTCTTTTCCTATTTTGTTTTGCTTATTCGCTGGTTTTGCTTTTCTTAGATTCCACATATAAGTGGAATCATACTGTGTTTGTCTTTCTCTGCCTGACTTATCTCACTTAGCGTCGTACCCTGTAGGTTCATCCATGTTGTTGCAAATGGCAAGATTTCATCCTTTTTATATGGCTCAGTAATATTACATTGTATATATGTTTTACTTCT